CTAGTACCATCCAGCATTAAACGACTTTGTCTTTGAATATGTGTTCTTATTCGTCTTCGTGGTCACTTGAGAGGTCCTGGTTGAAGGACACCACTTAATCTTCGGCAGAGCATTTCCCCTTTTCCCAATGCGGCTCTTCAACAGGACGTAGATCTAAACCTAAGTGCGGAAGGGTGTTGCATTGCTTTCAGGAATGCCTTATTCCTTTGCAATGAGGTCATTATCCTTAGGGGAGGATAAATTCTTCGCAGGTACACTACTGCACTCTACACAATTATCTTCAGGTAAAAGGTGGCGATTTCTCAACGTGTACCGAAATGACATTCCATGACTTATTAGTATTTAGTTTGTTACCAATTACTTGCATTGAATTACCAGGAGACTGTCCCGAACTCATGGCTTTTATTGAACACTGCCTATTTGGGATGGATGCATCTACTAAATATCTAGCCCTACTTTTCTAGAGTCGAGCGAACAGAATAACTGTATCAAGCGTGGGGGAAGGGAGGGGGAGGGGAGGATTTTTTGTAGATCAGTCGTAGAGGTCGCGCGGAGATAAGCACTTAACTTTGATCACTCTCCCACCACGCGGTGTATTGGCATTTTGGATGACGAAGGCGAAGTCCTTAAACCCGACACATGCGGCGCCGTACTGGCCATCGGCTCGCAGAGCAATTAAGGCTCCGTACCAAGTTCCCCTCTAGATGATGCATTACGCTGATTAGAAAAGCACAGATCTACACACCTCAGTAGTGGTGCGCTGGAAAGAGCGGTCTTGCTGGCCTAGTCGGACCCTCATCTGGTTACATGCTACAGTCACAAGTGTGAAATCTTATCTGCTGCAGTTATGTTCAAAACTGGGACGATCAGATTACAACATACGCAAAGGCAGGAGCCTGTGGTATTGTGAAAATTTTCAGAATAATCTGTTCTAGTCCAAAATACTACTTAAATCTAAGCGAGTAGAGCGTGGTTTTGTGTTCTAAAACAGAATTCGAATGAAATATGGCATGAAATCAGTCGAAAGTTTACAGTAGCGTTTTTTTTTCAAATGATATCCAAAACTGTCACAACTTGTGCTTACAAAGGTTCGCAATTATCATGCTCGCCTTTGAGTGCTTCAAAAGTCATCAGCATCATGCGATGCACCTTTTGAGCATCACCCGGCGTCTAGCACTCGTCATGTGCGTCTTAATATTTGCTATTACTAGCCGTTATGGATGCAAATTAAGAGGTGAGTTTACCTAGAATAGGTAATTAATTGTCATAATAAAGAGGAGTTAGCCAATTGAGAGGATTGAGGAATTACCTGGCGAACGGATCGCAGGCTAATGTGACACGCATCGTTGGGATGTTTCTTTGCTCTCATAAGTTCCACAGCTTTAAACGAGAGTAGAAATCGCATCATAACATCTCCATCACCGGTTGCTGCAGCTGCTCCAACCTGTTCGAAAGTTAGAACAAAAAAAATAGTGTGGCTTGGAAAACAAACATGGGATGGCATAACTTTGTTCAATGGCCCACTTTACTGTCGGCATATCCACCGGCTCCAGGAATGGGACTATCTCCAACACGACCAGGGACGCGGAAGCGAACTCCATTTGTAGACATGCCAACTGCCATTCTGCCATGTTTGTCAAGTGCTATGATGCCGATTGTGTCATGGTTCGTTTCGTCGATGCTCACTTCTGGTCTTGAGCTAAGGAGACCTTTGGAAATGAAGCTTATCAAAGAAGATGATCATTCATAAGCTTTATGAGTGGCTGTCATTGTGGGCATAGCTTTATCTTGATTGTGGTGAAGTCTAGTGCATTAAATTCACCAATCTTCAACTGTTTTTCAACATAGATTCCTTCTTTCATGGTCACTTACTGCTCCGACTTTTGTTCTTGAATTTGTAGGGTCCACAGCTATTTCGTGGATTCGGAATCCAGGCACAAGGCGCTCGAAAATTTGGTTGACAGTTCTTCGCTTTCCACTCCTTCCAGACTTGAGTAGATTCGTCGGAGGAGATATCAGTTCGTTGATAGCCGAGGGACTCAGCGAACCGCGTGGCTGCCTCCCCGACCAAGAGGGTGTGACGAGTGGAGTTGAGCACTCCCAAAGCAACTTGTGCAGCCTGTCTTATGTAGGCCATTTCGGCTACAGCACCAGCCTGAAAGTAAAGCAACTCAATCAAGATTTGCGCATCCATGGCCAAGTCAAAAATAAAATCCTTAATGGGTATCACAAGGTGAATTTGGTGGGTTCACCAGTTCCAAAATACCCTTCGTGGTTGGGAACATCAATTTGCTAAAAGTCTCCCCACAACTACAAACTTATGCACAATCGTGAACCCAGGAATGGCGAGCACTACAAAACTTAAACTGAATCAAAAGCGCTCCAACTACATCGCAAAACAGACGTTAATACGCACATTCATGGAGTCACCATCCATCACCATTGCAGAAAGCGTAGTATTGCCATCCTCATCTGGAGAGCCGCCCGCGCCCACAGATGTAATGTTTTTGTCCTCCTCAGCGGCAGTGCAACCGGCAACTACTGCTGATAGTGCCGAACCGGAGGTACTGATGATCCTCCAAGCAGCATTGTTGGGTCCTTGCCAAGGCCAAGTGTTAATCACAGTAGGCTTGGAATAGGTCCTCATCTTGGACCACGAATGCACATAGCTTGTGGCAAGGACAGTTGCGCAGCAGAGAGCAGAGAATGCCACCACACGAATCATGACCACTTGCGGAACTGTAAATTTGGAGCATAAGCATTTATTTTATGCTGGACGTAAACAACCCACCCTATCCACCTTAAACTAGCACATAATTGTGACTTTTCACGTAATCAGTCGGTGTGTGGGGACCAAGAGAGACAAAGTGCACTATTTGAATTAACAAATAACCCATGATTTGGTGCATCAGACTATTTGTGCAAACATTTGGCTGCAAACATTCAGAGAGTTAAGTATAAAAGGGTATTGTGGAGGTTAGAACTACCGATGAATGTAAAAAGGAGGTCATTTTGGCATCGCAACTCCCATCCAATTGGAATAAAACAAGCAGATCAAATTCGTGAGGTTTGCATGACTAATGCTGCAAAAAGAGTACAATAGTTTGGCATATGCTAACCCAGTACATGCTCTACCCTTAGAGTTAGGTGTTATCCACCAATCATACAAAAAGGATGCCATGTTTAGTCGCCTACAATGGTGGACCTCTTGGGTTGCATACTACTCTTGCCTATGTTGATCGGCATTGAAGCCAAGTCACGGCCCATCTCATTCCAATTCCTTCTGAACGTTACAGCAAACATTACACTTTTCGCCGTTGAATGTATTTGTAAATTTTGGTCACAATGCACTTAAAGTTGTGCGTTAAGACGCTTTTACTTAGGCTAAAAATAATTCAAGCAAATGAACCCACTCAGCAGAGCTAATTTACAGTTTGGTCGGAATATCAACCGTGTTTAAAAGTCACATCCAAATTTCAATATAAAGAATATTAATGGAATGACGGCGATCCATTCATTCGAATATCGGGTCTATGTCTAAGATTTGGATCACATCCATAAACAAATCCATGAGAATAACGCACAAACAGGCCGACTCAGCTACGCTACATCCGCCGCAGTTTATGAGGTCGCTACGCGTTGCGACCTCTAAGTTGCAACATTAATGCAGTTTCTGATTTGACGTTCTTTGTTTTCCCTAAGCTACAGAGTCCCAAAGAAACAGCTAAATACATGTTTTACACAGCAGAGAACTTAAATTTTCTGTATAAGTTAAAGGACAAAACTTGCCATAAAACGTAAAATGTTTCATGTATAAGTTATTGCTTGTTAGTGGCAAATCTTCAGGTTAAGACTCTTGCAAATCTGGTTTGCATAATTTTTCCTTTTGGTCAACAATCTGCATGAAAACAGAGATATGGTGATGTGCCCATGGCTAGTTAAATGACCAATGGGAACAGAGCGGCGCATTTAGGAGTTTTCGTCCTTGTTGCCTAAATGGTGGGTGGGCATAGAAACGCTCCAAAGTTTGCAAATATTTACTTTGGAACTAGTACCGGACATATTGAAGTTGTTTCACAGCGTCTTATTGGTTGTCGTGTAGTCAAAGAGGAGCAGTTTGGTACTATAAAATATGTCGGTCCCATTGTTAATTCAACTGTTGTCTGGTTGGGAATCGACTGGGACAATCCCAAGTCTGGTCGCCACGATGGAACTTTTAAAGGGATAAAGTATTTTACCACACATCATCCCACATCAGGCTCATTCTTAAAGTGCGTTGCAAATTAGTTTTATGTCGAGTCCATCCTGTACTCAGCGACGACCAAGTTTTGATTTTCACTTCTTTTTAATTACAGGCCCGAAAAAGCATCCTTGGGAACTAGTTTGGAGGAAGCCATAGTCACACGCTATGGAATGTGCGCTGAATGTCAGATCGTTGCCCGTAATCCGAATCTTTTCCAGTCTGGTGGTGATCCTGTCTCAGGGGTAAAATTAGAGTCTGGATCCTCTCCAGGTCAGTTAAAGGCTACCATGGATATGAGCCTGTTCGAAGCCGAATTCCTCGGAAACGGTGTTTCCAAATCCAGTGCACCCTTCACCGTGGAAATTTTCACCAGTTCGTCGGGTGACCTAAACAATCATCAGACTTGTGGTGCTGCCGGTGTCGCCCAAAAGCTTTCTCGTCTTCGAGTTGCCTGTATACCTGGTATGCCTGTCTATCGAGCATTGAAGGAAAATGAGACTCTTGCTGATGATGTTAGGACGTTGTGGCCGGGTCCTGGCGGTCAAATGTCCGTCTACCTTGGGGCCCTTCGTGAACTTGATTTGTCTGGCTGTCTTATCTCCAAGTGGACTGAAGTTGCCGGTGTACATTTCTTTGCATACGTCGATAATTGATTTCATGGAACGCTAATTTCCTTAATTTTTTTGAATAGATTTGCAGCCAGTTGCCGGCGCTATTGAAGCTAAATGTGGGATCTAATCGTTTGAGGTTGCCTATAACAACAGAAAACGAACTTTGTGAAATTTCTGAAGTAGAGCGTCGCTTACTGTTGGATGTCGACGTTGATGCTGTAGCAGCCGAAGCATTGTGTTCTACGGCGTTCCCATCGATTACCCGTTTCGTGGCCGTCCATATGCCGCCATTGAAGGACGGTGGAATACCCTTTGGCTGGAACGAAATAACGCGCATCCTAGGCTGGATGCCATCTTTAAAGGAAGTCTGCATCGCTTATAATGAGGTGGTGGTCATTTCCTAACCATTGGGCTTCTGGCTATCCGTTTATGATTCGATTCCCTCGTTTTTTTGTCACAGCTTGGGGATCTACCTGATCCTTCTGTGGGAATTGGAGTTCGCCTGGCCGAGCTATTACAAAAACTTAATGAAGTAGATTTGACTGGAACTGGACAATGTAGTTTTACACGCATTCTTTCTATGTTGGGTTGTTCAACCAATCTTACCTCTCTCGTTCTTAACGTGAATCAACTTAAGGAAGTTTGTCTTCCTCGAGATGTGATTCTTTTTCCTTCAATGACCCAACTTGCTATTCGAGATAACCTTATCAGTGACTGGGAATCTGTGAATGCCATGGCTCAACTTCCTTCTCTGACCAATCTTATTGTCTCTCAAAATCCCATTCTCTCTAGCACTACACCGTAGGTTGCACTTAAGTCGACGTTTTTCTTATCCATCGCCTTTTTAGGGAAACAGCGCGGCAGGAGTTGATTGCTCGCCTGCCAAAACTAAAATCTCTCAACCGGCAGGAAATTGAGCGCGATGAACGGAGGGGTTCGGAGTTGGATTTCTTAAAACGCTACGGAAAAGCCTGGGCAGATGCTGAGAAACAAGGTGAAGAAGCGAGGTGTACGTTTAAGGCGCAGTATCCTGTGTTTGAACAACTGTGTGAAAAGTACGGTGCTCCTGAGTCTGGTGAAACGAAAGTAAGTGGAATTGACTGCTTCGATGGTTTGGCGGCCGTTTCATCCTAATGCATTTTTTTTGGAAGCAATCGATTGGTAACCTCTTGTGGCTTAATGTCTAAAGAAATCAGCTTTAGTCCTAAGATTGAAGGTTTGGATTCTAATTGAGGCAGGTGGTTGGAATGATTCGGGCTATTTTTTGGTATTGCTAGGTTAAACTGTTGGATGATGGCGTAAGGGTTTTGAAAGTGATACATATATTGCAAAAAACTTGGGATATGGCTTATCCAGAATCGACTTTGGTCGGGATGCCTGCATAGTTAGTTAGCGGATGTAGGATTTCCACTTTCACAAGCTCCACCTTATGCATTTTTTTGCAAAAGTGAATAAAGCCGAAAGCATGGTGCTGCAGTTTTCATTTACAGGAGCTAACCATCGGGCAGGATGAGGCACTGACGATTATCCAGTTCATTCCTATAAATTTGATGTAATAAAAGCTTTGGGTTGTCTTAACTGTCTACTGTATTCGTGTCAGTGTCATTGATTAAAGCACTTCTGTGGCCCAAGGCGTATAATTAGCTTGTTTCGTAGGCTGTCATCCACGCTTTGAAGGAGAGCTTGGTGGAGCTAACAATAACGTGCGAACCCCCGGTGGCGGCAACAAATTCCCATGAAATAGTAAAGCGGCTTCCAGCCCGGATGACTGTGAACCATCTGCGGAGCCTTGTTCGACGTCTGTTTCATCTCCCCACCACCGCTACCATTGACCTCGTAACGTGGGGTGCGCGGCCCGGATTCGACGAAGTCGAGGTGCCGATGGACTCTGACACTCGGGAAATCGGTTTCTTCGGCATCGTTAGTGGTGACCGACTGGTTGCTCGATGGTCACCAGAGTCGTAATACAGTCAAATTGAACTCTTCATCTATGCCTCAGTTGTCTTTCAGCCCCTGTTCCTCGCTATCTATTAATACGACACCTGATTGAGTGGTCCCATTGACAGTTTTTTGCTTATCTTCTGATCCTCTTGCTTGCAGAAAACAAAATAGTTGCGTTTGTGTTAGATTTAAGCATTAATAGTAGTTGTTCCTGTATTCTTCGATGGGTATATAAGCACTTTAGGCTACTTTGTTTCCATGCCATGTTGTGTCGTGAGGTTAGTACATTGTTGTTCGATAGCGGTCGGGCCGCAAACCTCTACACTCCACTTGCTAATCTGACTTGAGCCTTTGAATGCCTCAGCTCATCTTGCATCTTCCTTTCTGCTGCATGTGTTGCCTATTTGAGTTTGGTTTGTATTCGATTCATTCCAAGTTTCGTATTAGGTCTGGTTGGTTGACATCTCTCATTAGCATCGCCCGCAGCGTGGCGCATCGGGAGGTTCTTCTGGTTATGAGTGTCATTGCATGCTTTGAATCCGATCATCGTTCTTTCTACTTAAATCAGTTTTCTCCTTTTTGGACCACGTTAGTATTACCAAGACGAGTACATAAAGCAAAACCAAATTAATTAGCAATTCACGTAAGAATACAACGACAAGGAAGATAAATGAGAGGTGTTTGTGGGTGGATGCTTATGAAGGCTCCTTTCCATTTGGCTAGACAGGGAGATGCGAAAAGTAGTCAGTGAGAAAGCCCTGCAGATTATCCAACCTTCGACTCATTTCACTGAGCTCACGGTTTAGATGGACGTCATCAGCAGTTGAGGGCGAGGTTTTCACTAAAAGAGGGAGGACATCGTGGCAGTCTTGCTGTTGATCTTGTCAACAAAGTTTTTATTTAATCAAGATTCATGCAAAGAACGCCAACATAACACCTCGTAAGAGAAATTAGAGATTGTGGGGAGTTGTTTTCAGGAAGGAGAGTTGGCATTTTTTGACAGTGGCCACTACTCAATAGAAGGAATGTAAACCCCCTCTGATGCTGCAAAACAAGACGTCGTGCCGTCAAGGCATACAAAATGAACAATAGGGGAGGGGAGCCTCCAAACACCTTACGTTAGAGAAGGAAGAAAAAAGGCATAAATCGTTCATGCGTGCATAAAAACCAGTCAAAATTGTGCAGCAACTTCAACGGACCTCACGTCTACACCCTCCTGGGGATGACTGCAAGACTTCTAGTCAGAGAGGCAGGCCTTGAACATCTAGCAAATTCTCATAGTTGCTGTTTACTGAACACCTCAACACTGCAAAGAAGCAACATCTACGCTAAACAAATCAACGTATCGAGCATTATTCGTGCCAAGTTGGGCACAAACCACCTTCAAGCGTCTTGGCATTGCTCAAAGGTGATGCCACACCAAGTTGAGTACAACAAAACTGACATCCGCTTGACCAGGCATACTTCTACATTAATCGAGCACAAGCCGTTTCCACTGACATTCTGACAAACTGTTCTTGAAGCTTCATGCACAGCCCAAACAAAAAGCAAAAGTCGGGGACTAAAAGTGCATTGCAAGAAATCTACCAACACGTTAGGAACGAAAGGAGTGCTTACAACGAAAACAACTGTAAATATAAACACTACCAACTTTGATTAGGGCATTCCGATTGATGGACTGCATTTCTGCAAAAACAATGAGGACATTTTGTGAAGACCTACGATGAAAAAAAATGTGCAAAACTTCCCTACTTCAAGTATACAATACATTTTTTTTGCAAAAGTGCACAATCTCTGAACGTCTGGTGTTTAGTTTTACAACGCCTCCACAAGCGCTAATCAGTTGTAAATGCCAGTGAAATTGGGAATCAGTGAGGGAGCCACAAATTGCCCTGTGAAT